AATAATCTCGACTCACCACTTAGCTATCTCGACTCTCGAACAAACATCAAGTTTCAAGCGGGAGAGATGACACGAACACACAAAAACTCAAATAAAACCGGTCCACGACACGACAAAAACGAAAAATAAGGCACAAAAACGAAGAAAACATCACCTAAACATGAATAATCACGAAATCCCTCCTTCACACTTAAAACAAAGCAATGTCCTCATTACTTGACCAAAAAGCATAGGAGAACGCACATAATCACGTAAGTTCATGTGATAAAAATGAAAACGGTAGGCAAAAATCAAAGAAACGAGACAAGAGAACACAAAGACACATAAAAAGCAAAGAAAGAAAGAGAAAATAGGAAAAGAAAATGCGTACTCGACACGGTGGTCGTCACCACCGTGTGTCCAATAATGGTCGTCTGGAGGGAATAGATGAGGTCAACCGAAGGCCATTGAGCGCGAAATGGAGCCATCCGAACGGTTTAACGTTTAAGCACTTGAAACGAGAGAGGCTATGTGTGTGTGTCTCGGAGAGATAGTAACCATGAATGCATAAACTCGACGTAGACACACGTTCACGTGAAAGCACAAAAATCGGGCCTCGAAGTCCTTGTCGATCCCCGCCATGGTCCGACACAACGAACTCCATTGTATGCAACGCATAAACGATTACCGGCGCTTGCTGTAAGTAGGGACCTACAACTCAAACTTCCGGCAAAAACACACGTATATGTGGTACGCCCGGCAAGACGTGCCTAAACACACAAGTCTAACCCAATTATCTCAATACGACTACTCCGGCAAGAGTAGTGATCCAAGCACAACGCATATAATGAAAGTACGGAAATAAAAATCGAAATCGAGACTTTGGACCTTGGAAATGTTTTTGAGAAAAACGGTCGCCGGAGTTCGTAAATAAAGAAATATAGAAAAATCAGAGATCGGTCGCCGGAAAGGGTACCAAACGAAAGGAATCGATGGTATATGACAAGAAAAGCTCAAAAGTACTAACCGGAAACTCGGTGGGTGCTCGTTCGCCAGAAAAAATGGTCGCCGGAAAAGTTCGCCGAATCCGGCGACGGTGGCCAGAAAAATGTGCGGTCTGACGAGAAAAGTCCGGGAGTGCCTTCGAATTTCGGTGGGTCCATGTGAGTCGCCGGCAATTTGGATTTGAAGGTTGAAGAGATTTATAGATCTACGAGCTTTTGCCGGAAAATCAGATGTCTTCTCGCTGGAATATTTCTTTGATGTTCGGATATGTCGTTGGTGTCGACGAGAGCTTCGCGTTGATATAAAATTCGGCACGATCGGAGAAAGGTTGCCGGAAAAGGCGGCGGCGCA